AAATCTTTTCTTTGTGGAGAGTTAGCTAAAGGCTATATTCAGAATACATCTCATTAGTCACTCTCTTAAATAACAAGTGTCAGATCATCAGTTAATTAATGTCCATCTAGTGTAACAGAGTAGACTGGGCTCTATAGCTATGTCTAACAGCCTTGGGAAAGGTATTAATGCATCTCCCACAACTATGGGTTAAGTAATAGGATTTGTATATGAAAATCATAATCTCTAAAAAAAATTGTTAATGCAATATGCCCTTTCAAAAAACAAAGAATTATTCTTACAATCCCCAAAATATACATTGGCATTCAAATAATATACAAAAGGGTGATAAGCTGTAAAAAAAATCAATCAATCTTGATTGTTATCATCTGACAGTTGATCCTTCAATGTTATTCAAGTTGGTAACGTTCTGAGAATTTTGAACTCAACTCATTGAGTAAATAAAGGATTTGTTTCAAAATTCCCATGTAATCAATTGTGAATAGACAATGTGTGAATATTGTTAGACGGTACACCAGTAAATACACTGCAATAATAACAAATGAGATATGAGGTCATAAGGTCGTGAATACAAATCAGTGTATAGTGATTATACAGCCCTGTAGCCAAAACCGATGTGAAATTTCAAGGAGAGGTGATGCATTATGAGCACTACTGAGGAGCCATGCTTGTACAAATTTCAGTTTGGCTCTTGAATCCTCAAAACTTCAGCAACTGATGATTCGCTCATTCATCAAATGATGAGTTAAGTCTCTGAGTGGGCTTCATATATAAAAATGTTTTTATTTTATATTTTTTTAAGTTGTTTTATTTATTTTTTAATATTTTATCAAATGCTTCTTCCACCCAAAAAAGTGCATTGCATGTTTTGAACTCCACCCCACACCTAAAATAAAGGAAAAAAAAAAAAACCTAAACATACTGGACACACTTTGGTGTATGTAAATTAATTATAATAGTGATTCCTCATCCCACAAATCAGGCATCTTATTATTATTATTATTATTATTATACAATGAGTTAAATCCTTTTAAATATTGTATGAAAATCAATCAGTTTTAAATAAGAAGGATATTTTTGAACTTTTAAATAGATTTTTTTATTTTTATTGTATTTGATTTTCATTTTGTTTTTGACCCTGGAAATCATTTTATTCATTCAGTTCTTATAATAGTGGAATAATTTTAAATTATTTTGGAGAACATTACTAGGTTGGCTCTCTAATCATTCTGATTAGTGTTTTACTATTAAAAACGTCTCTTCCTTTAAACTAATTGGCTGTTAAATACAGCTTGACATTTTCACTTGAGCATTCAAAGAGAAGGCTATTCTATTTAGGGTATAAAAAGGAAATGTCAGTTAAAAAAAAAAGTAAAACCCTGGTAAATTGGGTGCTTTTATCCTCTTTTTAAAATACCCTGCCTATTCTCAGCACATTCAAAAAGTCTAAACTCAGGAGATAGAAATTTTAAGCTGTCTGACAAGCCAGTAGAAATGCTAATAAAAATGTAAGAGATTTAAAAAAACAAACTCCCACCTTAAAGCCATCAACCAGTTGTATTTTGCCTTTCATTTTTTTCATCTTCATATGAGATTAATCAAAATCATTGCACTGGCACACAGATTTTATGCTTTTTACTATTCAGCAAATAACAGAAATTTGGTCTTTTACAGGAATTTTTTATCTTTTTTGTTGGTGGGAGGGTTATGTTTCCATTTGAAAATGCAATCAAATGAAAGAGACAGTATTTAGTTAACAAATCAAAATGTCAGCTATTAATCAACAAGTGATTTATCAATAGGCATTATAATGGTAAAATTGCAGTCAATACTTTTTTCCTGGATGTAAGAGGAAGATAGCTGTTATACTTGCTTTTTAAATATTTTAGTGTCTGTTAAAGAGGCTAAAGCTTCATCATACTCATGTCTTAGAAGAAATTTTCCAGTTCTACAGCATTTCAGCTGTCTTTTCCTATGTGTCATGTCCCTTTGGGATATAGGCAATCATGACTCCCTTCAATTTCCTGTCCTTAACAGCTCTTAATAAATTTTGTGTTTTTTTATCTCTCTTAAAAGTTGCATTGTCATCAAGCTCACTAAATCCATCTCTTGACATAATTATCGGACAAGTTTTGACCTTAAATTTTCACTGTATAATGTTTGCTCTGTGTGATAAATATTTATCACTAAATTAAGTGCCTTGACAAAGAAAGAGATTCTTCTTCTATATCCCATATCCCTTCAGGATATTGGCAATCATGGCTCTCCACAATTTCCTGTCCTTAGCAGTTCTTAATAATTTCTTTTTTGTTATCTCCCCTAAACCTTGCTCTGCCAACTGTTTACTCAAATGAGGTATGTTACGCATTACTTTCCTTTGTCACTTTTAACTTCAATCTGTCCTGTGAATATCAAATTTACCAAGCTCCATTTATGTGCCCTAAAAGTTTCAGCTATTTATTTTTGCTGTTAACTATAAGGGTCCGTTTTGTTTCCATTTTCTGTAAAACTTTGTTGCTCTCATGTTCTGTCCATTATATTATAGTATCCTTTTGTAGAACCACATTTCTGTTGCTTCAAGCCTCTTCATCTATGAGGAGGTTGTCCAGCATTCACTGCCATATAATATGACTGATATTACATAACAGTTTAGTACTCTTCTCTTTGCTTCTAATGAAATTTTTCTGTTTCTTAATACTTTGATTAGCTTTTGGAAGTTATGTTTCAATATCCCAATGTAACTTTGGATTTCTGTGTTGCCGTCATTTCAATTGATCTCTTGAAGCAAATTTCAATTTTAAAGAATGATTTTTACAAGGGGCTGCTAAAAGATTCTTAGCCAGACATGCTTCCATACATCTGATCAAATGAACAGAAATATTTATATATTTGGAAGAATTTTGATTGTACTGAGAACTTCTTTGTACAATATAAACTGAGAGTTAGAACTTATGACTGCATGGTGTATATATATATATATATATATATATGACAGTGCTGAAGAAATGTTTACATCTGCTAGGCTATTATCTCAAAGGACATTCACATAATGTTATTTTAGAATCGATAGATTCCAAATATTCTCATTGAATGAGCAAAAATGGTATCACAAGGACAAATTCACAGAATTAACTAAAACAAGATATCTTCTTGTATAAAGAGAAGGATAAAAACACTACTGTCTAATCTACTTTCAATGCTGGACAATGTCCACACAGATGAAGAGAGTGCTTGAGGCAACAGAGATGGTGGTGCTACAAAATTACTGACAATACTATGGATAGAGGATCTGAGTGTGTTTTAAGGAAAATAGAAAGAAAATGGACACTTACAATCCAAAAGAGGCATTTTTTATATTTCTGGGACAAATAATGAGACAGGCTTGGAGAATTTAACACTCACAGGACATAGTGGAGGCAAGAGGGACAGAGAAACAACAAATAACCTCCCTAATAAGCTTGTGTGAATGGGTAACAAAACAAGGAGTGGATGGTTCAGTAAAAGGATAAACATTACCTAGAACTACAAAGGATAAGAAATTGTGGAGAACCACAATTGCCAACATCCTTAAGGGAGATGACACATAAAAGAAGATGCCGCAACATTTATTATTTTCATGTAGGTCCATGAGTTGTTAGAATGTTAGTATTCTGACCATGAGATTTGGAGTCAAATCTTACCAGGACTGATTTGAAGGGAGGTAACTTCTTCATGATATATCTTTTTTTTAAATTGGTATCACACCAAGCAAGGCAATACAGCCACTAAAATGCAAGGGGTTACAGTGTATGGAGGAATTAGGAACAGAAACATTAGTAATGAGCAGAAAGAGAAAAGAGTAATCAGGAGGACAGTAGATAGTGATTGACATTTCATTTAAATTTTTGCAGATTAAAGTTGGCTAGAAAGCATGGAGTCAGAAGGGTGTTCTATAAGTAAGAAAAGAAATTGTTAGCATAGAATTTATGTTTACATCTAGCCAGTTCAAGTGCAAGTTGATGAGATCACACCACCAGTCCAGTACTGCATACAGTGTAGGTACCATAAAGAATAGCTAATCCAAACAATTACCATGAAAGTATTTATAAAAAGGCACAGAGAGGCAACCTAATGGTGGTGGGCAAGTGACTAAAGCTGAGCTACCAGAGATTTTGCTAGTTCCACGTGCCATGCCTTTTCTGGATATCTCAGTTTCAGTTATTTTCCTTTACTAACCCAACACTCCAAGTTTTGTTCACCTCTGCTGTGGCCAGGTATTGAACTCACAACTCTTTGGGTCAAGTCACTGGATTACTTGAACCAATGCTTTGTCCTTGGGGACATATGGCTTGAATATTGTGCGGAAGCATGAAACAGACTGTCACCACTTGGTGTTAACATCAGTATCCATACTTACTAATGCACACCAAATATCTCAAATATAAAATCTGTTGATTGGCTATAGGCATGCTGGATATGCTTGAGCTGGTGCCTGCAGCAAGGATTAACTAACCACCCAAGCAGATAGATATACTCCATTAGCTTACATACATAATATTTTGATATTATTCACTGAAGACTTGGAGGCATGTGTTAGGTCATGAGTTTGTATGACTTCTCACAGAATTTATATTTTACTGGAGATAGTGTCATCAATTAATTTAAATTTCTATTTTTATTTTTTTAAGAAGGAGAATGTATTTATTTAAAATCCTCTGAGGTAATCAGTTTTGTTTTGTTTTTTTTTTTCCGCAGCCTCATATAAAATTAACTGCAATAATTTCACAAAAACTCTGAGAATATATCTTTTGTGATTTTCCAAATTGGTTTGTGTGGTGAATATCAGCATGACATTTGCATCAACTAAAAATAAGTAAAAGTACCAATCAGTCAATACTAGTCTCTTTGGGACTGATAGAGAATATATTCATGAAATCATGCACCTAAAATAGATATGACTTATACTAATGGTAGAATCGCTTGATTGTAGCCATGCAATAACAAAAATGGTTAACACTCACCAACTGTCTTCCACTTCCCGTCCTTCACTTTGGCACTTGATTTGACGTCTTTGTTTCCCAGTGCCACAGGTCACACCTGGCGCAAGAAGACAGGGGTCCCAATCTAGTGCAACCCAGGAAAAAGTTCTGCATTCAAGCCTAGAGGGACACGGGCTGCTTTCCGTTAAAGATGAGGTAGATGGGCAGGGAGGGCCAGCTGGAAAGATACGACAAAAGAGAAAAATATTAATAAATTCAAAGAGAATGATTGTCAGGTGTAAAAACATAACAGAAAATTTAAATAAAGAAAACATACGTTTTAATCTTACAACTAAAACTCTGTTGTAAATGTCTGGCTGATTCTTTATCAATAATAAATGCTTTGTGTAGTAATTTTGATTCCCTGAAAGTATGAAACGCATTCCATGTCAGGCAGGGAGAAGAGAGAACATGACTTGTCTAGTGGCAATAGTGATTAGAAATGGCATGAGATGCATGTGTTTGAACTTTGGTAAAATTTTAGGCAAGTCTTCTTTATTTCTCTCTGTCATGAATTGCACTAATTGAATATTGTGTAAAGCATGGTGCGAAATGAAATAGTAAATTATATTGATAGTGGTTGATTTCAGAGAAGTTTCACATAGCAACTACAAGTACAATTAGCTCAAGGCCCTACCTACCTATGTAACACTATATATATATATATATATATGTGTGTGTGTCTGATTAAACAATTTAGACATGTTGTGTTTATTTATTTTCAATTCAGATTAAGCAGATAAGAACAGATACTACACTTTGATCTTAGCCAAAATGCCGTTCATTTACTTACTCACTGAGTCAGGTTGTGACACATGGTCGGTTTTTAACGTGGGGACACGAGTGTTTTCACTTGGGCTGGTCCAAACTGGTCTTAGCTGGTCATAGCTTGTCCAAGCTAGTCATAGCTGGTCTAGACCTGAGCCAGTCCAAGCTAGGCATAGTCGTGATTGAATCTCAGCCAAAAGGCCGAGAAGCCATTGTATTTTCTTGCTGCCCCATACTGGCAGGATGTGACACATCAAGCCCAGGTGCATGCAACAGGGCCAGGTCCGAAAATAGCCCAGCCTCCACAATTGTCAATTGTGCTGGCATTGACAGCACTAGCAATCCACTCTCTTTAGTGCAATGAAGGAGGTATCATCTCAATGATATTTTCAGTTTTGCTTTGTCCACAGAAATACAACTGTGATGTACTCTGTTCGAAAACAGAGACACAACTGAGAGATGAAATGTAATTTATCTACTCAAAGGGATAAACCACATTTTAATCAAAACCAAAAGGTTGAGTTGTAATGACAAACTGCAATAAAAGCACTAATTTTTAGATGCACAATATTGAACAATGGAAACCAAGTTACCATAAATAAAATAAGATATGCTGAATTATTTTAAATTACTATTAAGAGAAATGTTCATAAGACAGGTGTTTGGCTAGTAAAAGATTATTATCTAAGTTATGAGAATGTTATTGAGAATCAAAAAAGAAACAAATGGTATCATAGTCAAGACAGAATGATAATAATAACCTAGAATACCAGTTTAAATAAGTCAGTGTTTAATGTGAAAGCATTTACAATAAGCATTAGTATAAGTTCTCATGATTTTACAATTACTACATAGCTGTTTCTCTTACTGTAATTATGAAATTCAAAAGTATTCATATAATACAATGGGACAGAACAACCTAGTTACATGTTTTTCTCTTTCATTTATTTTCCTCTTGCTTTACATATGGACAGTCTGCAGTGAGACATATAACTATGTTGCATTGTCTGCCATATTTATAAAAGAAAATAACAAGATGATATTAGTTATTTCCCTTTGTAACAAATATTGAATTTGTACTTTTCAAACAAATTCTTTAATGAGGCATTTGTTGGTAATCAGGATATATTGTTTGTGACACACAAACTTATTTTAGAAACAAAATGTTTTTTTAGTGGAGGAAAGAAATGTAAAAATATCTGGAAACATAAAAAAGAATATTGATATTTGTTTCTTTGGATAGAATATAGGTCACTTCCCTTATTCTGTTTGAATATTTATAATAAAATGTCTGTATTATAGTAAAATAATTCTGATCAGTGTTAGTTTTTATAAGACTGTCACTTCACAAGGTCTAGAATAGTATTATATCTTTAAATTAGATGCTTAATGAAATTTAGTAAAGAAATAATAGTCAAACAATATGAAAAACAATGTTTTTTTGTTTTGTTCTTTTTTCCATCTATATAAATAAATGTGAGTGTCACTGTGTTTCATTTTTTTCAACTATATTCCTTGAAGCTGTCATCCAACATATCATACCATTTTGGAATCAGGCAGAGTTCATGAGCAAATTAAAAACATTCCAAGCTGGATCTGGACCCACAATCATGAAATTTTGGATTCCCAAGTCTTCATTACTGTGATTATTTTTTGGCAATTTTTTAACATGATTTTTTTTGCAATTAATTTCTTTGTATGATGACAATCTTTATAGCTTGGAAATAAATTTGGGAATAGTTGAAATTAACTGTGAATTCCAGCGAAAGTCACCCATGAAATAAAAATAATTGTTTGTACAGAAAGTAAGGCCATACATACATGAAATTGTCTTTAAATTAAGTGGTAGCAGAAGAATTATCGTTAAAGTTTTGAAAGGTAAGCTTAAGTATTAATGCAATACTTAAATGCAATAATCACTTCTGGGTTCTTCTGTAGTTTATTGTTGCCTATCAGCATACAGTAGCAGTATGCCTCACAAAAAGAAATTTCTGCCAAATGAGGACCAGATTACAATCAAAAGAGCCAAGGCTGCAGTGAGGAAAAGTAAGTCCCATACAAATGAAAACACAGATCAAATGGTAGCCAGGAGAGCTTCCAGTGCTGAAAATATGCAAACTCATGAACAAGCCATCAGCCCAATCAAGAGCCCTCAGCAGGAGCTAGCTTAAAATAGCTATCACATGGCTTTTAAGCTAGTTATATATATACACAAATAAAAAATATTAAGAAAACCTTCAAAATTCATTTAAATTAATTATAAGGTTCTCATTTTCTTTCTAACACTTACATTAATTCTTGATGACAAACAATTCCTTTTTATCTGGTTTTAAAATAGAGTATACCAGTTTTTGTGAAAACAAATTTTAGAAAAAAATTGTGAAATTTGATGTTGAATTATCAAATTTAAGTGTTAATTTTATCATCATGATTTCTTTTTTATTCATTCAATGCTCACATTGTTATTAGACTGGATAACATAATAGCATTTTCTGTTTCATTTAAGCTGAATTTAACTAGAAATAAAAAAAAAATAATTTAGAAACCAAATTTAAGCATTTTAAGAGGGCATGATTAAAGCATAAATATTCCAGTTTTAAATCATCATATTTAGTTAATTAGTTCCCAGACTAATTATTCTAAAGAAATGTTGGCATCTGCTCCCTTTTTGTTGGTTTATGGCCATATCACATTGATACGCCAGTGCTTGTATGATCACCAAAGTAACATCAAGCCTGATCAGTAACTAGATGGGTCATTGCTTGGGAACACCAGATGCTGGATGCATGGGTGACATTATGGTTTACAGCTGGGAATTGGAAATCAAAGACCTGAGTTTCAATTATAGTCAGGTTTGGTATATTCTTTTACGTTCAAATACTCTTGGGAAAGGTATGAATTCACCTCTTCCTTCCAACAACTATAGATTAACTAGAAGGACTTGTATCAATAAATTATTATGACTAATAGATTCTTACAATCTAAAAATATTTCCTGGCTTTAAATAAGCAACAAAAGGTTCATAAGCCATAAAAAACAAATCAATCAATCCTACTTGATAAATAAGTAACCATTACAGTGAATTGTTAAAGATGGTAACTATTTGTGTAATATGTTTTTTCTTACTGATTCAAGATATTCACAATTAGAGAGGATTCTCAATTGGATCCATTATGGTAAAAGTACTAACGAACATTGTATTAACTTTTTCCCTTCTTCCTAAGTAAAATAAATATTTTATGAACATGAAGTAAAGAAAGAAAAGCTTACTTTAAAAAGGGATTTTATAAGACTTACATTTTTTCCCACTTCAGGGTGTGAGGTGCAAAAAAAATTATTGGACCAACCAAGAAAATCAAAAATAAATTCTGATACTTGATCAACTGGCCAGGCCAAAAAACTTTTCAGCACCCTCACAGATCTTACTAAAATATTTTATTTTTATCTTCAAAGATATTTCCAACTCACTATTTATTAGTGATCTATAAATAAAGACACACCTCTCTAATATGATAACAAAGTGGTGCTGAAAAGTTCTTGACTCAACAGACTTCCTAAAGTCTGACCAAACATTGAAATTTATTTTAGAATCCCTTTTTGGAGGGATTAATAACTTCAAGGCAAAAACCTTGTACTTTAAACAAAAATAGTAGGTTATTTTAATAATCTATATTTAAGTAATTTTTTTCTTACATGGGCCTGGAAATGCTAAAATTCTACGGCGCCGCACTCGATTGGTGACCTGAGCTTTCTTGTCGCATTCATCAGGACATTCTGTCCAGGGGCTCCATTCTGATAAAACACAGTCACTTGGACATGGGATCCTGCAACTTTCTTTGTCACTTGGTCTGCTGTAACTATCACACAGACTTTCATCTTTAGGGATCTGAAAAAAAAAAAAAAAGCAATTCTCATGAAACATTTGAGAAATATATAAAGAAAAACAGGTATTTTCTGTTGTTACAAGCTAAGTCCTTATTAATACCTGTTCCAACAAACAAATATGTTTTTTTTGTAGTTATTAGCACAATATTTCAGCCAATTCATTCTGCTGCCTTCTTCAGGTGGATAATCAATAGAAAAGAGAGGTTTCTTTACAGTTTTTAATCATAAAATCATGGAAAACAGTTTTTTTAAATTCTTCCAACTGTATATTTAAAGTAGGTTGTAATAGAATATTACAAATGTACAATCACGTTAAAGTGAATTTAAGATTCCCAAAAATATATATTGACATTTCCAAATTTGTTTTTGTCAAGATACAAAAAAAAAAGAAGATATTTCCAATATATCTTGTTTAATGAACACTATATGGCTCTCGCCATTCTATGAAAGTTAACTCCTAACGAACCAGTTTGGCTTTCGTTCTGGTAATGATATATGCCTGACAATAGCATTTAGTATAAAAACAGACTGTTGCCTCTGGATCTTGACTTCAGTATCCACCTTTATATTTACATATGTTCTATCCCTGATATTGAGCATTTTAATCCATCATATATATATATATATATATATATATATATTATTGGTTTAAACATTATTTTTAGTGGATAACCATATTGGAGTAGATGCTCTGGATATTTTAAACAGTATTTTATCTTGCCTACCAGCTTGAACATTTGAGAAATCTTATTAAGGAGACTGTGCCTTCCAGCAGATGAAATAAAACAGATTAAAATAAATAATGGCTGGCTACTCTCATTTTCTGAGCACACCTGTCTACTCATAGGGAAGCTAGTCAATCCCTGCCACAGACACTTTTACAGGCATATTTGTATTTATTCAACTCCCACAGAGCCCACCTGTGATTTTATACTGTAGCTTTGCTGAATATATTTTACTTATAGTTTCTGGGAAAGAGTGCATAATCTGTCATGATCAGTAACTTAAACAATGCCAAGACACTCAAACTCTTGGTCATGTGGATCTGGGGCTTCGTGCTAGTGCAACCATCAATGGTTTCAGAACAGTTATGTTTAGCCATTTTCATTCACAAGGCTTGGATCAAAATGTAAGATTGTCTCCCTAGATGGATAATATCAAGAGATCACCTCCCCGCCAAATCAACCATGGTGAGATTCGAGATTCGACCCTCCGCCTTTCCCACATCTTATGGTCAGAAAGTGAATGCTCAATCCACTCGGCCATGCATCCATATATATATATAATGAAATGGACTAAGTCTAACAATTATTTTAATATATTTTCTGTTTATATGTTATTTTTAGAGATACAAATATTTAAGTAAATGCTCTGTTTATAATAAACAGTATTAACTACATTTACTGGCTTGAATATCTGAGAAATTTCACAGAAAATATGTGTAGGATACAGGTTTGATTTCTGTCAGAAGACACATTTTCTAGAAAACAGAATATATATCATTTAGCTTCCACTACCAACAAAAATGTTATCAATTTTATACGATTTTTCAATTTCTGTGGAATTTGTGATATCAAATTTAAAAGTAATTTTGTCTATATCCAAGAGCATTGTCAGATGACTATATGTATATATAGATACAGAGTGAGAAGTTTGAGTAGACTTAACTATCTTTTAAACAAAGGAATTAATTTCTAGCAGTCTAGAGATCTTTCCAGTAAGAATTGAACCTGTATTTCATTTTTTTTTTTTTAATTATGATAGATCTAGCACAGAGAAATGCATTTCTTAAGTGGACAATTTAGCTTTGCACCGCTGTAATGACTTCTCATAGTTTAATGATGGAGTACCTGGACTGTTTCCCCAGGCAAAAAATATTGTTGAAATATTACCAGAATGAGATCCATAGCTATATATTCAGCCAGAACAGTGACATTACTGGATAATGAGGGATTCTTAGACTGAAGTCAACAGCCAGTGCAGAAGATAACTTGAAAGAAATAAATGGTCACATGAACAAACTGAATGTTCATGTTAGAAGTCTTCAGCCATGTTTTGATCTGGAAAGTGAGGGGCTCTGGCAGATCTACTTTCCCAAGACCCACTACACATGAGTGAATACCTCTCTGTCTTTCAACCCATGTATCTGGAGGGATTTAGTCAAGTGTTCAGCTGCACAGTGACCCTACAGCCACACCTGGTCATGGGACTGATGATGAATAATAAAAAAACTGTGACAGTGGTAATATTAATAACAATGACTAGTTCTACTTGCAATTAGACTATTTGTTATTATAGTCCATCTCTATGTTTATCCTAAGCATCGTTACAAAGCAAGATAAGCGATAGACTTTGAGAAAGGATTTGATAATTATCAGGGAGGCTGAAGAGTTGAATTAATTTTTAATATGGCTGAATTTCCAATGATACACATATTCAATAAAAAAAAATATGAATTTTTTAATTATGAATGACCCTTCCAATGCTGTGAAGTCAGAAAGCTATTCATACAATGTGTTTATGGCAGGTGTCTTCAGGTCAAAATGGGAGAAAAACCTGTGTGTAAGCAAAGTTCATTGGAAGTTAGATGAAGAGATAATAAATATATTCATCAGATGCTATGGCCTGAAAGTTTTGTTTTCTACATTGAATGCATTAATGTCAGATCTGTATCAACTTTTTTACATTGTTGGACAAACTTTCAGTGAATATTGCTGTCATGCCTAATATGGTGCTCCTGATCATATCAGATAAACAATTCCAGATTCTTTGGATTTTGTCAATATTCTTGACAAAACCCAAAGAAAGGTACACAGTCCTGAACTGGCATCTTGACTTAAGTCCCGTTCCCAGTGACATAACATGGCTTCCCTCAATCTTTTCGATAAATATTTTCATGAAAATTTTTTAATGAGTTTTCCTCCTTGGTACCTCAACCACATGAATTTACAACTAGTTTGGCAACTCGATAACATTGTTTTACCATTGAATTATCTTGATGTAACCATAAGTTTTATTCCAATAGTTTCTTTTCTTGGACTTCTCACCTGTGGAACTGTCTCTGTTTCTTTCTTTGCTGCCATTGACAATCTTCAAAAATTTAAATACAATGACAGTCCCTATCTTTTGTCTTCCTGTACAATATTCTATTATTGTCATTTCTCTGCACTACAGTAACTTCTCATTCTATTTCACTCTGAGTAACATGTTACATTTTAGAGGCATTATTTCATTCCTTGGGATGAGATAAGTAAAAAGAATTTTTTAGGAACATAACATAAGCAAGGAATACCTACTCCATTCACATCTACACAAGACAATTTATTGTGTTTTGTCCCTTGACCGCATATTCTCTCTGAGTGATCAAGATAACAAGTGCCAGATTTAGTAAGGTTCCAAGAATAGCAGGGACCAGGATCACATGGTTGTGTTTCAACGACAGGAATACAGTTTCGACCTTTTCCATTTGGTGTTGAGATACTTTGAAGTGTTCTGGATCGATAACCTAAAATGGAAGAAAGAAATATCAGAACTAAATACTGTTGCCAATTCAAAGATTTCAAGCTGATTTCTCTGGCCTCCAGCCAGATATTCAAATTCAAAATAAGATAAGTCAAGTTAAGGTCATATAATTGCATTTATATCATTTGATAAAAAAGAAATTTGATATATCAGATTTGGTAAGACAGGTGGCAAGTGTGATAATTATAGGTCAGCCAGGAGTAAAAATTTGGCCAAATGAAAGGAATGCTTCAAGTTGTTGCTGCAAATTTTTATGATATTAAAGGAAAAAAAGTTTTTAAAATATAAGAAAAAAACAATTTTTTTAAATGATATATGAGCTCATAAGTGTACTTGGAGATTTTACTTGAAACTTAAATTTATATAATTATAATATTGTATACTTTTCTTCTTCTGAATAAGTAAAATGAATCACCCAATTCTAATTTAGATATCAATCACACTAAGTCATTTAAGTAATGAGATATTTTTAAGAACATCATTTCCATGTGTAGGCCATTGCAAATTCACTTGACTTTTTATTTAAAAGAATTTTAGTCATTATGTTATACTCCACTTCCAGTTGGATCTCTTTCTGATTCACTCTATATGTTGTCCAGATGGGAACACTAACAAAGCCACCCCCCCCACACACACACCAAAAATAATTGTTCTCTATGCAGGGTCCCAAGCATCACACCCGACTCACAAAACAAATTCCTTTAAAAACTATAAAATAACAACATAAAATAAACCAATCACGAATGTTGCTGCTAAAGAAAAAACAGGAATAAGACAAGATCAGGAGACAAAACACTTACTTTGAAGAAAGTTGTTCATAAATGATAGGGCAGAATCATGGCAATGCCTGGCAAGTTCTCAATGTCACCACAGTGACCTCAGTTAACTCATCCAACATACATATATAATCAAGACCCAACCTCCTCCAAATTGCCACACCTCACCCACATAGAAACTTTCTGCTCGCATTCCTCTGTATAGACAAAGACAAAATCATGGCATGACCAAACCCAATTGTTGACACATGGCAACCCTCTTAGCATCACCACCCATGACTTTAGTCAACTGAATTGACAAATGCATCAACTCCAGGCATTACCAAATCTATCCTTCTTTCAAAAGCCACCATTCCACATTGTAGACATTCCACTCACATTCTATGTATTGGCAATACAAAGAATTTTATATGAAATAATTCTTGTCATCTTTGACTTTTGACTCACTGGTAGTACTTGTTCTTTAGTTTATTTCATGCTACCATATGCATGTTTATAATAATTATGAGATAGTAGTGTTCTTTCCAAGCACTTCTTAATTGTCCTGTATGCTGAGATTTGTTTCCTCAAGTCAATTATATGAAGCAGTCAATTTCTTGAGTTCTCAATGAGAAATTAGTCACAATGATATTCAAACCCAGGTCTTATGGTTGGAAGGCTAACCACTTGACCACATACCCATTTTTAAAATTATTATTCATAATATATATAAGCAGACTGGATTATGACTTTTTGGGGTTCCTAGGCTAAATGACATTATGTGTTCCCCCTCAATTGGGGACACCCTCTAACTTGCTGACACCAGTTTTGAATATTTTCTACTCTTAACATATTACCTGCTATGATCCCCATTTGGGGATCTGTTAGAAATAAACTCACTACTCACTTTTTTGATGTTTTATACACATATATATTTGATATTCTAGTTTCTATAAAAATGACAATGGTAACTACTGAAATTAAACATAAGGAATAAATAAACTCTTAAGACACCTGTCTGGGTTAAAAAAAAATTGGCAGTTAATGGGTTAATATATTTTAACGACATTTACATAGCACAAAGTAAATTTATTGAAAATTCTTAGTAAACTAGATTCACTATCATTTTGTTTACCACTAAAAATATTCTTTAAGAAATACCACTATTATACTATTTATTTCAAATTAAATTAGCACATATTTTAAGACAACCATAAAAAACAGATTTTTATAACTAGCATTATAAACAATAAGTTTGACATATAAATATTTCCTAAACTGAAATAATATCAATAAGTTATAACATCTAGAAAATTTAAATCATTGCTTTATGAAAGCTTGAGGAGCCCTAAACTGCAGCTTATACTAGCCTGAAGAATAATTTGGCCCTGTATATAAAATTGGTCTGAATGAAAAATCTAAATAAAAGATTTTACAATGAAGATAGTTATTTGCATTTTTCCTATCTTAAAATCACAATTTGCAAAGTAACTTTTCCAATTTTATTTTTTATCATGACAGATAATTAAAATCAAATTTTTGAATCAAAAGTTCATAAATCTTAAATTTGCTCCTTGAAAATGCATAGAAAGAGACAAAAATACTTTATATACAAATAATGTGTTTCTGTTGACAGATTGCATATTAGTGTCAGATGTAATATTTATCATTTGTGATGAATAATTTTTATTCAGTTGATTTTGACAATTAAATTGCTCGAATGATGGATGTGCAATATCAAAAAAATAGAAGAGTTTATAAACTGAAAAATTGCCTGCCATATTTGGTGGCAGAAATGAAATAAAAACAAAAAAATGACCCATATTGTGGCTGAGATGGTTGGGTATTTCTCAATAGTACCAGTTTGTGTTCAAGTCCAAGAATTCAAATCATAGTTTTAAAGCAAATAAACTCTTCTCACAGAAAAGATTGGCATAAAAGAATCTCCTTACTCACCTCCATAATTTGGCATTTAAAAATTTTACTTTAAAATACTAATATCTATAATATGAAATATATATATATATATATATATAATATTATGTTTACCATGTACAAATCCAAGAGCTACTCAAGGTAGAGGACTACAGAATATGAGGCAGAGTTTATGGAACTATGTGGGGGAAGATAACGGTTAACCCAAGACTTGAACAGGTTATGATTGTAGTGATCAGGGAAACAGCCCCTTGGAAGTTGGTTCTACATGACAGAGGTTCATGAGAAGCAGCAGCTTGAGTGAAACTTACATCTTATCAATAGATTGTGAAGAGATTAAGGGTGGTTCACTACAATGTGCATAGAATGGCGGGTCCTAGCAGTGAAGACTGAAAGTGGTGAAACTAAGGAATGTGGTTTGTCTAAGTGCTTTCCATGGAAATAGTGAAAAAACAGTGAGAGACTTGCAAGGTTTTATCTGTGAGAAAGGGATTGCAGGGTGGAAAATAATCTGTCATTGATAAGATATCAGAGACACTTTTGGGCTCTATCAAGACTGGGTTGCTCCTGCCCATATATGGTAGCAGTATTCCATTTTTAGCTTGATGTTGTGAAGGTAGAGGAGAACAGTACAGAGAAGCATCTTTTTATTCCTGCATCTTTAGCGATGGGTCATATATACAAGTTCCACTTGAGGTCTCTGCTCAGTTTGTCCCAAGAGGACACCTGTTTATATAGAAAATATCTCTTGTGACAGCTTCAGTATACAACTCCTATAGTCGCAAGAATAAAGTAAGATATGAGTGCAATTTTTCAGCATTTTTTTGAGCTTTGTTTCCTTGAGTATTAGACTGAAATGAATGCAAATTCCCTCAGATTTAGATGTTCTATTTATTGCCTGTTATATACCATACCTATGAATCCTCATAATTACGTTGGGCACTATTGTAAGTGGGGGCAATATGCTGTCTAAGTAGTCCACCACTAGCAGTGATTTACCTACTTCACACCGCTAGCGAGTATTGTATTTTGTTGATGTTATAAAGATTACCATTTCATTTCCAACCTCTATTTTGGTTATTCATCATTGTCACAAACAGATTTTAATTAAATAAGCATATTATGGATTTTATATAAAGAAAAAAAATGAAAAACTTCAAATAAAAACTTCTGAAGTTAAATTTAAAGTGGACAAAATTTTAACTTCTATCATTATAGATATATTTTGAAGGAAGTAATTTAAGCAAAAGGTAATTTTTTTTTTTTTTTTTGGAAAACTAGATAACATTAAAAAAGAATCTGCAATGTTACTGGTCCTGAACTGGCATCTTGGCTTAAGTCACATTCCCATTGCTGTAATGTAGTTTTCCCATGGCTCTACTATAAATATTTTCAGGGCATTTGTTCTGATGAGCTTTCATCTGTAGTACCTTGACTTCATGAATTTAAGTGCAGAACTAAACTGGCAGTTAGGGCTCATTATTCTACACTACAGCTGAAATTGCTAGATGTAACTAAGTTCTAGGTTAACAGTACCTTCTCCGGCAATTCTGGCTTGTAGAACTCTCTTCTGGCTTCTTGCTTTCCAGTCAACTTTTGATTTAAATGCAACATCAATTGTCGTTGTCTATCTCCATGACACCTGTTATTTTAACATATTTTCTCCCAAATAAAATTTTTTCAGTTTCACTTTCAGAAACCTTAATAATTTTAGTGGCTTTATTGCCTTACTTGGGGTGAAATGATTAAAAAAAAAAAAAAATAGCTCAGTGTTGGAAAAATTCACTGACAATGACTTGTGTGAAACTCACACTTCCTGCTGCATTGCAGAAAATAACTTTTCTATATTTTTTTTTTTTTATAACAATCAATGTTTTATTGATATTTTTTGTAATAATATCCAATTTATTTACAAATAAGTGTCAAGAAGAAGAATTATTTAATGAATTTATAATGCATATATTGTAAACCTTGACAAACCTTTCATTAGCTAACTATAGTATATGCATCAGCAGGGATATATTCAGTTTTAGAATATGTTGACTTTCTCATAAACTGGTGGTTAAGCCAGGCTGAAGAGCCAAGTTTGTGCCACTAATTAACCCATTGCTGAGAAAGGGAAAGGTGGATTCATGCCTTTTCCCAGTGTATTTGTATGCAAGTGAATGTAACTTGACTGTAATTTGAACTCAGCTCTCTGATTTCTAATCCTGAGCTGCTATTTATTACACCACCTGCACACTATTTTTTTAATTTTTAAAGGAGGTAATAAATGCATTTTTTGTCATCAAACATTATATTTTTTTTAGGTTTATTTGTAAAAATTCAGATCCAATTATTAAATTCATAAACAAAATGGCTTGATTACAACCTTAATATAACTGCAAAAAGCAAAAAGACGAAGCGCAATATGAATAGTGGGAAAAAATGGTATTGTCATCGGTTAGAAATCAGCAATTTCCACAGAAAGAAATAACCTGAGTACTTGTAGTTTTTACCATCCACCATTTGTTCATCTAATCACTACTTCAAATGCTGTGCTTTTCACATTCAAAGAGAACCAAATTTTTTTTTTTCTTTACTTCTTCTAAGAGAATCATTTCAACACGTGATAGATAGTTCCTAAATGTAACCTTAGGGACACATGTAGTTATAGATTGAAGAACAATAAAGACTTTCCAACCCCATTATGTCTTTTTTTTATTTTTCTGAGGGGCACAAAAGGAACATGGAACCATAAAACATTACTAGGAACTGACAAATTGAAAAAAGGATTCTTTTACTTTACCTGTGTATTGATGTCGTTTTTTGCGATGAATCTTATCTTCAATGCAAGAAATTGGTTTACATTTGCTCCAGGAACTCCACTCTGATGCCAGACAACTTTGTTGACACTCTATGTGGCACACTTTGGTCATGTTGGGCTTGACATCATTGCAAATGCTTTCGGCAACAGGGACTAGCTTGTTTTTGACTGTAAATTTAGAAAAAAAAGTAAAGTAAAAAACGTTTATTAAAGAACTGCAAGAAAAAAAATACATGTAAGTATAGACTGACAGTAATATATATATTATTGTGTGTTCCTCTCTTATTTGCAACATGTAAAAGCACACACCATCTCAAATAGAATACTCAACCATCATGTCTAAGAAAAATGTGCAGCTTCCTTCTATCTGTACAATATATATATATATATATATACATACATACACACACAACCATATTAAGTGTGTGTGCATATATATATATATATATATATATATATATATATATGTGTGTGCACACATACACACACACATATACATGGTAAAATTCAGATAGCATCTGAGACAAAAAATATAAGGCAAATCAAAATATGTTTTTTTGAAATGTGTTATTGATAATGGATACAAACTTTTGGAGTGGGCAATAATAATGCAGATACTACCTGAATTTTACCAAAAAGAAAATAATTTCTTTGCCTGATAATGACTGGTGGGCCCATTGAAAGTACTTGCATATTTAAAGAAAACCTAATACAGTTTATAATTTTAAAAAACAAGGATCATAATATTCATCGAGTGGTTAGTGGGTTAATGCATCTTTAAAATTTAGTTAACGAAGGGATTTCGTCATTTTATATCATTAACTTTATTAATTTACTTTTTGTATGAATGATTCATTGTAATATAAATTAAACTGCACCACATATTTGAAAATTGGCAATGAAAGTACATAAAAAACAGTGTTTCTCAATTTTCCTTTATGTTTTGTAAGACAATGTTCATTAAAATATTTCAAGTAAATATGATTCAAATTGAACAATTTTTTTATTGTGAAATTAATTCTTCATGTCTAGATCTAGAATCATCAACACAAACACGCAGACATGCAGAAAAGCACTGGACACCAGTTTTGTCCTTTTTGGGACCTATCAGCAGCCTACCCAACTCTAAGAGTCAAACACAGGCCATTACATTATGACACAAATGCCATATTATTGGGCCTGCTGATGAGTCCCAAAAAGGACAAAATGGTTGTCCAGTACTTTTCTGCATCTGTGTGTGTTGAAGATTCTAGGTCTAAATATGATGAATTATTTTATATAATATATATATATATATATATATGTATATATATATATATATATATATATATATATATATATATATATATATATATGTATATGTAGAAGGGTTTGCAAAAATAGGTATACTGTATTTTTATTTTCACATTTTTTATTTTAATACATTTATTGTGATCTCACAATCACAAGAAATAATAAAAAAAAAATCTAATACCCATGAGTCCATAGAAAAAAAGGAAACCATACTACTGGTGGGAAATTTAAAGATGTTCTCTCGTTCACATAGTCCCTTTCAAATTGAATTGGAATTGATATAATTGAGCATCTCAAGAAAGGAAGACCATAGATAAGTTAACTCTCACTTTCTCATCTTTAAAACTACCTTTTACTGATAGACTTATCACCTCGAAATAATCTATTCATTTACCAACACAAAAAAGAAACATCTTATGATCAACCACATTACAAGAACTTTCTTAGTCTACTGAACTTGTACAACAACATCATTCTGATAGTAAATCCTTTATATATATATATATATATATATATATATATATATATATATATATATATATATATATATATATATTATATATCCAAGTATAGGATTGGTGTATATGGAATAAATTCCAATAATCAAAAATACTATTCTTAAGAGTGCTCAATACAGAGTAGAGCAAATATAATTTATTTGAAAATTATAACATAAACACGTTAGAAAATCACAAAAAAAAACATTATAAATAGATTAACAGTATAATCATCCAGCCCACAAAATATTACTGGCAGAAAATTTGGAGATTTAAACTTTTCAGTCAGTCCTTGCAATGAGAGTGCATGGAATTAGAGCAGTTCCAGAAATGAAGGCCGCAAATAAGTCACCTTACCCAAATATCAATTTCTTATGTTCAATAATACCTTTTACTGATAGACTTATCACCTCGAAATAATCTATTCATTCACCAACACAAACCAGAAACATTTTACTAACAACCACATTACTTTCATACATCTTTCGGACACATATATCTAAATCTTTCTGATTATATATATTTATAAATATCTCACATTGTTCTGATGAATATATGTAATATTTTACTAATCAAAATTTAGAGACAAACAAGGTCCATCATAAAACATTTATTATAATTTTTATTTTTTAATAAATAACAATGATAAATGCTTCACGGGCAAAGAGGTGTGTATGTGAGTGAATGACAAGGGTAAACAGTTTGATTATTTGAGGTATGCATATGTTTGTACAATCAATACAACATATTTTATGTGCACATTTTGTTTTCATTAATGTATATCTACTTTTGCACTGTCTATATACGCACACACTGAGGAGAGTGATGGTGAAAGAGAAGTTTCAGATTACAGAAAAGGGATGCTGGAAAGTCCTCACCAGGACCAAGAAGCTATTCAGGCTACCAAATTATGTTTATTATGGCTGATAACTTTTCATCACCTCCTTGTGTTTGTGTACAATTACATGAATAAAGACAAAAGGGGAAACTTTTACCAATACATTTTGTCCTCTGATGGACATTTTCAAGTTAAATGCAAGGATTTTATTTTGCAACATGCATTTATAAACAGAACTTAAAATATTGTTAGATTTTCAAAATGTTTAAATTTAGAAACACTCAAAAATATTCTTACAGCTAATTTAGAAAGTCAAAGTAAACTATGGAGGATGCTAAGTGAAGTAATTTAATGCCTAAATGAAAGTGAGTATATGTTGTTATTGATGTTGCTGAATTTTTATTTTCTTATTTGTTTTTATATATATATATATATATATATATATATATATATATACTTAGCTAAAAAACAGTCAACCAGGTTAATTTCCGAAAATATTTTAATGCGCATTTACATAACCAGCAGATGAAACATGTCAATAAATGTTTCCTAATAATCCTGTTCCATGAATTTCAGCATAGATTCTTTCTCCATCCTTAGTCATGCTCATTATTTATTACATTTGAAGGCCTTGGAAACAATCTGTGTTGGGTCCAGACAGCCCTCCCTCTGTAAACAGAGGAGAAGTCTGTTAGGGCTTGACATTATTTCCATCTGATTGTTCTGCCTTTATTTCATTACATGCTTTTTATATTTTATATTGTAATATTTAGTCTTCCCTCAATTTCAGCTCTGTTGAGTGAGGTCGGCTGGTTATTTTTTTTTTTTTTAAATCATAAATGGTAAATCTCATCTTGCTGTTTTTATTTTCATAATGAAATTCTATACCCCTAAAAAAAAAAAAAAATAATGAAACTATATATATATATATATATATATATATATATACACACATACACTAATAAATAACAAGCAGCACTCAAAGACTCAGATCCAATTTATAACATTTAGTTTCATACTATGGTGACCATCAGATGACAAAATCTAGAAAACCCAAACTGCATAAATAGTAATACAGTAAAAACAATGTTAAAACTTGTTGCAAACTGCTTTTACTTTTTTTTTTTTTTTTGAGAGGTTGTTTTTCTACCTTTTCATAGTTTTTCCCCGCTTTTTTCTCATGTTACCATTTAATTCTGTAGTTCTTATGATGAGTTCCCCCCCTTTCATAACTCATCTTTAAGAATTTAAGTGAAGGTGCATTTATTCACACAATGGCAAACTAGACAAAGATATTTCCAAACCCAAAAGGTGAAAAGACTGACTTCATGAAAGTTCAAACAACAACAATATTAAATGGAAAAAATATATATTAAATATGATATCATTTTTGATAGCAGGAGTAAACTAGTTATATTTATAAATCCACATAGAAGGCAAGAATAATTACTTGAAAAAAAAAGCACATGACTTGAACACAGAAAATGAATTTTGCATACAAACACAGTCTAATTACTTTCCATGAATAAAACAAATGGATAAATTGTCAAAAAAAAAAAAAGAGATGTTGGGTCAATAGATTAATTTTTTTAATTTTTTTAGATATTTAATGATAAACTTAATTTTCTAAAATAGAAAAGAATTCAAAGTTCCTTCAGATGTAATTAAATAGCACAAGCAACATAACCCCTTTTTATTTTTATAACTGCATGTTTCTTGGGAAATAACAATGCTTTTCTTTAACTCTTTTAATTTTCATCTTTGGAACAAAGGTTCTGCCAATAAAACACATACTCTTTCTTCCCTTTAAATGTCTTCAAAACTTAACCAGTTTTACTCCAGTATCACATAAAATCATTGTCGTCTTTGCATGATATTATTCTGGATGATTAGACAAAATATTAAATGTTTTGGCAGAAAATCAAAAATTGTAATTATGCTAATTCATTTATTAAATATAACACAGAAATATTTTTTATTTTCTTGCTTAATTTTGTTTGTATTTTCTGTGTTCTCTAAGATTATATTGAGGTGGAAATTCTAGAACTTGTCATTTTATTTTTTAGCTTTAAGTTTCAAGCAGAAAGGCTCAGAAGATTATTCTTTTTTTGAGGGTAGAAAAATCTGCCCAGGTTATCCTTATTAAATATAACTTTATTAATCTGTTTCAATTTAGGGATGTGCAGGTTATCATGGCAGAAAGTGGAACCAATCAGCTGTGTTCAAATGTGCAAAAATACCTTTGGAAAAGGGATGAATCTGTCTCTTCTCTCCAGAACTATAGGTTAAATAGCAGTGGAGAGTGGAAAGGACTCTTTAGGTGCCAGCCATTCTGAGAGATGGAAAACTTTACATTCAAAACCATGGAGAAGACAACAGGAATCTACTCTGCTGTCTTTTCCAAGAATGCATAACAATTCATAGATAATAAAAGAAAGGAAGCTGTAGAGAGTCATGACCACCGATGTAATGAAGGAATATGATGACATTAAAAAAATCATATTTTAAAAATGCTTTTCACAGGTTTTCACCTGTAATTC